GCCTCCCTTGGCCACCCTCCACCCCTCTGCCAGCTCACCCCCCTCTTCACACACCAGGGTGGCTGTTATAGCCTTTGGCAACAAGGGCCTTGGCAACGGACTTCCCACTTGGGGGAAGCCACATTGTTGCCATGGCAACGGAGGCCTAGCTCAGTGGCTGCCAGGCAGTGCAAGTTTGGGAAGGGAAGGGTGGGGGCAGGTGGGAGGTGGAGGGCCTGGGGAGGACGTTGGTCAGGTCCAGGCCCCCCATGGCCAGCATTCTGGTGTGTCGCTTTGTGGTCCTAGCAAGGGTGGTAGGTGAGAGAAAACCATGTTGGACATCGAGGGCAGGATTTTTGCTGGTGGTGGAAGAGAGTATTCTGGGACCTGAACTGAGGCCACCCGGGAAAGCAAGGGGGAGACTGGCTTTCCGTCGCTGCCTTCAGGTCTCTCATTACAACAGAGCTCAGAGACTCTCCCCCTCCACCCCGATTTCCCACTGTGAGCAGGTGCAGGGGGAGTTGCTGTAGGACACAATCCAGGGCCAGGGATGCTGACTGAATGGAGAGTGTGTGGCCAAATAGAGCCACTTGCTGAAGGGGAAAAGTGTCTTTGCCATTTCCTTCTCCCCTCCCTGCCTTCCTCCTCGCTTCCTGTCCTGCTTCCTTCCCCTCATCACAGGACCACCTGGCAGGAGTGCTTGTCCATCAAGTTTTAGGTTCCCTGGTGAGAGGTGCGGTCAGGTACAGTCAGGTACCTTTCACTCGCCCGTGAAACAGGTCACAGGACCGTGAAAGAGATCGAAGGCATCATGGGAGGGGCCCCTGCCTGGAGCTCAGAGGCCTCCGGGCAGGGACTTCCTTCAGCTTGTGGCTGCCCATTTTGCTTGGTGGCTCTCGAGGGAATGACTTGGTTTGAGGACTTTGAAATCCAGAGATGCTATAGTGACAACTGACTGCAGTGCTTGGGAACCAGAGGGTTGAGGTGCACACCATTGGCTGGAAGTCGTGCAAGACGGGGGTGGGAGCATCTGTCTAGCTCCGGGAGCTTATGGGAGATTCCAGCCCAACGCCCCTCCTGCCTCCCCACCTTCCCTCCTGGAGTTGCATTTGCAGTCCTTTCTACTGGGTCACTGGCCCCACCTAGTGGACTCAGCAAGCATCGCTGTTTACATTGCGGAGCTGGAGAGGGTTGATAACCTCCTCCTGTGTACTTTGGGGAGCAGTTCCAGTTTTGTACAAAAAGGAGAAGACAGGGAGGAAGCGGAAGAGTGAAGAGGGAAAAGAAGAAGAAAGCAAGCCAGGGTTTCTGCTCCTTGGCTCAGCTCATGTGGCAGGCAGGTCCCCTCCCGGCCAGGCTTCCTGTTGGGGCCTTGGGCACCCAGGGGATTTTAGACCAAATCAGATGATCGTTCTAGCCTCTGGCAGTGGGGCATTCCACACCCAAATATGCACTCACCTTGTGCCTAGAAGCCCAAAGTTTGGTCTTTGTGTTAATCAGGATTCTCCAGAGAAACAGAACCAACAGAATGAGAGAGAGAGAGAGAGAGATTGAGAAATTTTTATTATAAGGAACTAGAGGCCCAGTGCACAACATTCATGCACTGGGGGAGGGGGGTGTCCCTCAGCCCGGCCTGCGCCCTCTCACACTCTGGGGCTCTCGCAGTCTGGGACCCCTCGCACCTTACCTCCCGCCACCGTCCTACACTCACCAGTCCTGAGCCCGGCTTCTGGCAGTGTGCCCCCTGGTGGTCTGTGCACATCATAGAAACTTGTCAGTCGTTCTGTCATTCGGTTGATTTGCATATTAGGGTTTTATCAGATAGGATTGGCTCACTCAGTTACGGAGGCTGAGAAGTCGTAAGACCCGCAGTCAGCAAACTAGAGACCCAGGAAAGCTGATGTATATAGTTCAGGTCTGAGTCTGGAACCAGCAGAGCCAATGGTCTTTGACTAGAAAGCCAGCAGGCTTGAGACTCAAGAGCAGCTGATGTTTCAGTCTGAGTCTGAAGGCTGAAAAAGACCCATGTCCCAGCTCAACAGTCAGGCAAGATGAGTTCCTGCTTAACTCAGCAGCCTTTTAGTTCTAGTCAGGTCTTCAACTGATGGGACGAGGCCCACCCACTTCAGGAAGGGCAATCTGCTGTACTCAGTCACGAGTCAAATGTTAATCTCATCCAGAAACACCCTCACGGATACACGCTGAACAATTCTGTTCAAATGTCTGGGCACCGTGGCACAGTCGGGCTGACACATAAAATTAAACACCACAGTCTGGCTC